AAGCAAAAAAGATAGAAGCTTGAAATTGAAGCAAACGACCCCTTCGTGGAAGGGAGTAGAGTAAGAGTCAAAGTTCGTTGGGAAAGGAATGGGAATTGCGAGGGAAAACATTGCACACATAAAAACACCCACACATAGCTCATCTAATAAGACGCGTTTAGCGTCTGTCAGTCTCGAGTATGGAACGGAGGGCAACCAAGGAAAAAGCAAATAGGAAAAAGTTATGGAGCTGAAATAAATTGGATTAGTTCGAGTAGTGACGCCATTTTGTCGTGCACGGTGCAATTTATACGCGAAGAGATTTTTACTACACATTTTGCAGGCCGCACTCTGTTTTTCATTTGAAAGGGATTAGCAGAGACTTCAGAAAAAAACACCAGGAGGGGGAAACAACCTAAGCGTGGAAAACGGGGGAGCTCTAGAGAGCGCCACTTTTATTACAGTATTGACTGAAGTACTGGCTGTAGGCTACGTGCCAAATCAAAATCAGATTCCCATTATTTTTCGTTCAACTCGAATTGCACTTTCATTTGCATATGAAAGCGATTCATTTTTCTGCTTTGTCCGGCCTAATATTTGGCACCTTTAGATTTTTGTTCGCTTAATGATTCAATTATATTTTTGCTTTCAGATTGTCTGTTATGTTTAAATTTCTTATGTAAAAAGCGTTCCCCTCTGACTTTTCCGATTCATGAATTGGTTTCTTGTATGCAAATTTTACACCTTTTCACAATCCTATCCCCGACAGCTTTTTATAACCTTGCAGAGGGTATTATAATTTCATTCAGAATTTTGCAACGCAGTGAAAGAGACATTTCCGACCCTATAAAGTATATATGATCTTGATCAGCATCAATAGGAGAGTCGATCTCGCAAACTAGTCTCTCACTTTTAAAGCTATCTGCATGAAACTTTCCCAAAAGTTTTCTTTCTATTGCAGGTAGTATAAAAGGCGGAACGACCCCCTTCGGACGACTATAGCATATAGTTCCCATAAGAACAGTCGAACAAAAAAAAAAAAAAAAAAAATTTAACTTTGCTGTTTTTTAATATTTTTATTTAGTTCTTCGACATATAGTATAGACATAGTAATGGTTAAATATTTCAGAATAACGATTTAAATTTCATTAAAATCGGACGACTATAACATATAGGGCCCATGGAAACTATAAAAATAAAAAACAAAAAAAAAATGTTTATAAAATTAACTTACGATTTTAATAAAATTAAGAGCGTAATTCGTTAGTATGGGAGTTTAGTCGTCCGATTTTGATGAAATTTAAACCGTAATTCTGATATATTTAACCATTACTATAAGTCGAAGAACTATACAAAAAATTAAAAAAACAGCAAAACAGCAAAAATTTTTTTATTTATTTTTCCGATCGTTCCTATGAGAGCCCGATCCGCCTCGTTATATACTACCTGGAATAGAAAGACAACTTTTGGGAAAGTCTCATTCAGATAGCTTTAAAACTGAGTTTGCGAAGAAACGGACGGACAGTCGGACATGGCTAGATCTACTCTCTTAGTGATGCTGTTCAAAAATTTATATACTTTATAGGGTCGGAAACTTCTTTTTCAGTGCGTTGCAAGGGTATACAAATGGTAATTTACGTATTATTTTTTAGCTATTTAGCTATTATTGTTTGAGAATTTTCACTTAAACATGGTTGATTTTAACAAGAACAGAAAAATCTGTGTAGCTCAAATCGATAGCTCAAACCGCCAGAAATTTGATTAAGTACGAAAATGAATATATTTTTTAAGCTTGAAAAGGATTTCCACTTCCTACCCATTTCCAAATACTTTTACCCATCTAAAATCTTTTGGAGATAGTCACAAGCCGCTAGCAAATAACTTTTGCAAAATTTATATAAATAGTCCGTCCTTGTAGTTCTGAATTTATTATTCGTACTTTATAAATATGCAACAATCGATTTAACATAGGCCATTATTTATTAAAAGTTTTGGATCCATTTATGATGGTAAATTACATTTGTAGTTTACATTGGTCAAATAAAACAGAAACCCCTAGTGACGGTTGTATTTATTATCTCTTACTCCATTTCTGCCCGTTGGATGATAATTTATTTAAACACAGAGCTTGAAAACCGTGCTTACCCCACATGTCAAAGCTTCGTTGCCATCAAATGGATTTCATTTTGAAATCCAATAACTGTTAAAAGAAAACATTCTCTAGCCAGGACAACCCTTTTAGTCGCTATCTACTTGTACCGAGTAAGCGGGATACATATATATCGTAAAATGAAACATTTTCGGAGTACATAATGTAGCTAGCTTGTGTGTGTGTAACAACTTGTATACAGACACAGTGATTTTCGCACTTTACGCAATTTTTCCCCGCCAGCACAAAAAGGGTTGAAAGTGCGTATGGACATGGAAGGACAAACACCCCAACAACGAACACACGCTCTGTGGCGTTGCCAGATTGTCATCGCAAGCATCTCGCCTTCATCGCTCTTAGAATCATCGTCTCGTCCTGGAATCCGTTCTCTGACGGACTTCGGCGGCCATTATTATTTTCTTTCCAGTATTTCACTTGCTGCGGACCCGCGACTCCCCCTTGGCCCCTTTTCGTTTCCTTCGACGTTTTCGTAATTTTCTTTAAAATATTTTGGCAGTAAACTTTCTAGATTTAAGCCCTTCCCGGCAGCTTTGCTTTCCTTATCAACCCACCCGGCCCGCTAAACCATTCCCATGGTTTTGCGGTTTGCCTGGCTTTACAGCGGATCCCAGTGAACTCTTACACTACGGCCCCACCTAATTCCTCCTTCTCTCCTCAATAGCAACCAGGAAACTCGCGTTTTAATCTCATTTTATGAAATGAAAATTTTTCAATTTTTCGACAAGAGATAAACTTTTTCTACTTGACTGCGTAATTACTCGGCTTTGGAATAAAAATGTTATGAATTCTCGTCGGGTTCTTTGCTGATTTTTGTTGGTCATCATTGCCGCTGGTGATGCGATGCTGCCGCCACAGATGCGGTAAGCGACGTTGTTGCCACTGTTTTTTCATTAGCGTTGATTTACATAATGGCAACGATAGAAGCATAACTGTTAAGATTATTAAAACGTGCAGAAGTACAAGCTGACTTATGATGTGGTCAGCTTACCGCTAATTATAAACGCTGATGAAGGGCTCACCAGAGGTTGGGGCAAGAAGAGCAAAAAAAAGCAACCTATAAACGAATTTGAATTTGTTTTGTTTTTAATGATGTAATAAACAAAAATATATAACAAATATAGTTAAAAAGGTATAAAAGCAAAAATCGAATGATAATACATTCCCAGATTCAATTTAATACTTATAACAAGACGCCTAAGTAAAATATATGCAGAATACTTTCCTAGAAAAAAAAAATATAATATTTTACCCTACGAGAAACGGGTATAAAAAGGTCCAAGGATGGTAAAAAAAAACATTTGGTAACTTTGTTTTTGCTTAATGAGCAAGCATACATACACACACGTTGCGCTTGAAAAGGCATTACAAAAATGCGTTAAGGGCGCGCGTTGCCAAAGCACGGAGAACAAATATTAATTTCTTGAAGTAAGTGTTCTAGAAGCATACGCACAAAACTCACACTCATACATTCTAAAAAAAAATTCTGAGTCTTATTTAAAAATGTTTTGGATTTTGGAGAGCGCAAAGGACTCCAAAAAGTATAGCTCTAGGGGTTGCTTCTGATTATACCCTGCACTTTTTGGAAAAGGGTAAAGGTTTTAGGTAAAACTTAAAATCCAAAGATTCGATTCCCAAGATGAGCTCCGTAAAATATTTTCGTTTCAATAACTTTCTGATTTCTTAAAATGATATTCATCGTCTTTAAGTAAACCACCAATTTTGTGATCATAAAAATTACATTTTCTATGCTATTAAATACGTTTAAGGGTTCAACTTTACTTATTTTGTTTTTGTTAAAACTGCACAAAAATACTCCAGAGCAATACGTTAAATTAGCGTCGGACAGTGTTGATGCCAACTCATATCTTTTTGGCTATTTTCCTTCCATCGTTTACCACTCCACCATTAATCTTAGCGCTTAACATCTTCTGACCCCTTACGCGCATATGTACCCACCCACACTTTGCACTGGCATACTTTATTTAGACTCATTTAATGTGCCACTGCTGAAGCATCGGTTTTTACGATTTTCCATTTTTGTTTTCGCTATTCTTTGCCACCCTTGAAATGAGTTTTTGTTCCCCTTGCGTTCACTTGGTTAGGGGTTTTTTTCTAGGCAGAAAGCTAAGAAATTTGGTTGAAAATTAAAATCATGTCTCCCCTGTCGCCGCCAGACGCGACTCGAGTTGAATTTGATGTGAATGTTGTGGATTTTAATAATGAAAAAATAAGGCAGCAAAATACTGGCAAATGCCAAGCTGGACCAGCTGGTTGTATAACTCAACTCGCTATAATGAGATTTGGAGTATGACCAGTGACATGAGTCACTCTTTAACTTAAACATTTTTTTTTTTATGGTATCATTATTAATTTTAGTCCACACAATGGTCCAGCTAAATAACCCTTTAACAAATCTGAAGCCAATTATCGCTACTCGAAAAGATAACGCGAGCCATGACACATTTGCTTTGCGACCCAACCCCCTAATAACACGCTTGTTAACTTGTGTTCACACTGACCACACAGTGAGTGACCAAGGGGAGGTGTAACACAGGAAGTGACCAGGACAGGCAAACCAAATGTGAAGCGGTCAGTCCGGTCAACTGGTTTATAGCTGACCCGCTGACTTCTGAAGTGTTTGTCCAACTTAATAGTTGGATTCTATTTGGCTTTTCGCTTTGGGCTGTGCATAAATTAGCATTAATAGCATTATCCGCGGAGGGGACGACACAAGGGGATATTTTATAATGGTCATTGGGCAATTAGCAGCGTAATTGAAGGCGTAACCCTATTTTCTTGCCAGGCATGACAATGTAACCTCTGCTGCACTAGAAAAAAAAACTCAGGACAATAAAAGTCATACACCTTTATTAGAACTTGATCTTCATTTCAAGTATAATGGGCCGCGATAATACATTTGTTAAGTTGTCCAGATTCTAGGTACGTTAACATGATGGTCCGCAGCTACTGCAGCAACCGCCTCCGCAGCAAGGCCCACACGGTCCACTATAAAATCCGCATCGCGGCCCGAAACAGCGGCCACTGAAGCAAGGACTACAGCAGGGGTAGTAACAGGTTCCACAGCAAGGTCCGCAACACATGACGAAGTTGTGAGAATCCTGAACGAAACGCGTTATTATGAGGAAAGAATAGTCAAATATTTTTTATTTTCTTACTTGTAAATGAAGTCCAAAAAACGTAAATAACAAAAATTTGTATGTTGTCGTGTTAGAGGCCGGTGTAAGACTGAATTTGTCTTGGCTTTTAATCTGTACGCACAGTTTGACAGACTTAAAAAAATGATTCACGGCTAATGTGATGGAATAATACATTTAAAAAAAATATAGGAGTTAAATTTTTATTTATTTAATTGAGAAAAGTTAAATAAAACATTTATGTTCTGAATGGCTCATGAATCAATAACAGCATTTATCATTTGTGGAGTAATTTCTGTTTGCTATCAGAAATAAATTTATAGCGAAACCTTGCAATCTTTACTAAGTTATATGACGAAAACCGAGTTAATTTTTTGTTTTTACACGAAAACATAAATTACCCCGGATACTTCTACGCTAATGGAAATTATCGGCACCACGAAAATTATCAACATCCTAAGTAAATCAAAACGTCAAAATGGCCCCTACTTAAGCTTTATTTCATGTTGTACCTAAACACATGTGGTAAATGTGAATAAGCATTTAACCATTAAGTGTACCCGTACTCGGCACACGTCCTGGGGGAACACATATAATGGCAAGCCTAATGACCACTACGCACTTCCGTCTAGGCCCTTCGCAACTCAAGGACTCTTTTGCGTATTTTCTTATTCCTTGCCTTAATAATAATAATTCAAATAAATAATTAATATTCAAATTCGACTGAACCAACGGAGTCACCAAAGTGTGCGGCATATTAAAAAGTCATTTTCCAAGCAAATGAGTTAACATTTTTCCTTTAACTGGCCTTGCCGATCTGAGTAGGAGCGAGTAGCAATGGGAAACAAGAAGGAAGCACATGCTGTTCGACATGAGCTTGACCGGAACTGGCATACGTGCCGGAAATGCGTGCTTTTTGGTAAAGTAAAGCATTATATTTAGGTCGATATGTAAAAGCACAAAAAAGGTCATGCCTGGAAATTGGAAAAATGAAAACGCGTTAGCAACGATAATGTTATAGCGAATATACATATGTTGGTATCCTCTTTCGGTCGTAAGCTCATTTTAAAATAGGTACATATTATTTCACTAATGTTAATTAAGTGCAATGAATATTAATGACACTTATATTAAATTCTAATTCATACGATTCGATGAAAGTCCACTACAAATCCTTAGAAATTATAAATAATCTTAACTGTTCCTGCTCTGTCTCATGTTTGCCCAATTCGATTGTTAATAGCTGAGTCTGACCGTGGATCTTTTATGTTGCCTGGTCCTGCCCACCGTTTAGTACTCGGCTTCGCAGCCGTAAAAATATCGAGTTTCTCACTGTCATTGCGCTTTTTTTTGTATTTAAATTTTTTTGAACTCCGTCTGAAGCTCTGCGCCTTAGCTTCAGACATAGGTACTATTGTTGCATGAGCATCATCACGGGATCGATTCGTTATTTCTTTCGTCTGGGAGCTCTAGATGTGTTTGTTTTTCGGGCTTGTCATCTGGCTAAGCTTTAAAAATTAATGATGCGCAGCACATTCGAAAGTCCCCTGCTGTCATTGGCTGGGTTGGATATCCAGAATATATGTAAGTATGCAAAAAAAAAAAAAAAAAAAAAAAAAAAAAATTGAAACAAAATTCACATTCGCCGCTCTAAGCTGCGGCTTAGGTTCGCTTGCTCATTGATGAAAATTAATGAGTGTGCGTGTTGTGCTCCGTAAATATTCAAAAGGAATATTTTAGGTGATTCTGTAGTTGTTTTGAGCCCCGGGACCTAGCTCGGTCTCAGCTATCGCGCAATCGCCCCACAAAGAGCTACAGACTCAGGACTAATTTGCATAATTACAGCCCGTAATTTTTTTTCTCTGTTACGCAGACAAAAGTATACACACGAATCGCTTGTGTGCGCCCTTCAGCAAAGGGACGCAATTTCCTTTTTTGTGTATGGCACTTTTTTTACTTGATATTTGTTTATTACGCAACCGTACACACGCACTCACACACATCGGCTTTTTCCATTTTTGATTTCTAACAAACAATATTCTACAGTGCGTTTATTGTACGTACAGAAAATGGGGAGAACATGACAATGTCCTTAACAATTCACATTTTCATATTCACGTATAAAATGAAGCAACGGCTTTCAAACAAAAATGTTTTAGTTGGTAAGGAGCCACGGAAAAGACTTTAAATTTGAAAACCAAATAAATTTGCCAACATAGAGCCGATTATTCCTATGGCAGCTATAGCACATAGAAGCCCGATCTGATGAGTTTTTAAACTAGAATACTATTGAAATGAAATGTTGCTGATTAAAAATATATAAAATGTATTGGGTCGGAAAAGTCTAGTTCACTGCGTTGCTTTTTTTTTTTTTGACAAAAATTATAGTTTGAAGGCAGATCAAGAACATCAAACATTGAAAAGCTTACTAAAACTTGTCAACTATTTTAAGACCTACTTTATCATGCTCATGGAAGGCGAAATTCTTAGTTCAAAAGCTATTTTGGCTTACCGTCAGGACGACAAACCGGATCTTAAGCGGACTAGTTAAAAATGCTTTCTTAATTGTACGTTTCGAAAATAACAGAGTTGATGGAACAAAAAGAGAGTAGAAAACTAGGTTTACCAAATGTATGCAAATTTAATTTTGTAACTTAGTTTCAAATTCAATGGTAACAAGAATTTACTATGATATTTTTTTTAATAAATAAAGTTAGAGTTCCAGAGACCTTCTACTTCCTGTTAGGCGAGAAAATTGTTCACACTTTTAACTTTGTAAGCTATATACAAATTCCACCCTCAAAGAGATTTTCCTTTTTTCGGGTACATATACCGATTTTTAAACTAATTTCAAGACGCGCTCTTCTCTCATTTTGGCTGGATTTTCTCTCAAATCAAGGATGGAGTCGTCGGACTCGGGACAATCCGGATTCTGAGTTCATTCCACTCATTAGCATGTGCTCGCCGTAAGAGGAAAACGAGGGCGGAGATTTTTTCCTTCTTACTTTCCTTTAAATTTATCGATTTTCTTGGATGGGTCGCTGTGCTCTTTACCGTTGCTAGCTAATGAGCTGCACTTGTGCAGACTCTTCCAGGCCCAGGCGTAATCATTCAACTTTGCTGGCATTGCTGATTATAATCAGCATAATGTGTACTCTCTTACACTTCAATAGTTCACGCCACGGATCAGTGGAGCTCGGCTCGGCTCGGCTGTTCCTGACCGGACCCCCTCTCACCTGCATAGTAAGAATGAAAAGACGCAGTGACCAGGGCAACGGTTCTCTGCCTGCGTTCTTATAGGTTCTAATAACCGTAATCAGGTTAACGTTAACGTTCAGTTTACCTACTGATTTGCTGCCACTTGGCAGTCACTCCTATTCGGGCTGCAGCCATGGTTCAGTGAATGTGTGAACATTCAGAGCCTAGTTTCTGGAAAGCCGTTCGAAGTTACAGAATGCCCCGCAGGAACTAGTGCAAAAGTTTTTAGTTACTTGAATTTAATAAAAATCGGTGTTGGCCAGCCAAAAGACCTTTCTCCCGCACGTTAGCTCTTTATATAATTATGCTATTTGACTTAATGACGACTTGCTTCCGAAACAATCCAATCAAAAAATTTGATTGGAGTAGGCGTCAACGCTACAGAACTGCCAAAGTAACTTCTGCTGCCTTCCAGGCGTGAAACTATTTCAAAGGTCAGGCGAAAAAAAAATAGTTTCTTACACTCGCTAATGTTTAACCAGCTTTCGGAATTGCTTTACCTGATTTACTGTAATGGGCAGTTCATGCAGTTTCCTGAAAATTTATAACCACCTGATCAACCCACACACTCACATGGCGAGCGGATCTATCGATATTACATTTTCAATTTGGAATCATTAGCAAGCCAAGGCAAAGTCGATAAGGCGGTGAGTGAAAAGTGGTCAGAAATGCAACGCCCATTGTTTCTATATTCGGTATTGGACAACGAGCCCCGTTCACAGCCTTACAGAGTCTTCAACTGTGCTAAGAACACGAGTACAAGAATACTCGCCAAAAGCAAAATCAAGCCGGCAAAATTTAATACCCATATATCGTTACGGGGCTGCTACACAACACACACGGCGCACGGAGCCACAGATCGCCGGGATCCGATTTGCGCGCACCTCCTGCCTGCTTTTGATTTTTAAATTGAAAATAATAATTTTGCGCACTCAATTTTCAGCGATTTGTCAAAACATTGTTTATTGTCGACGCCAAGTCCCGATTCTCCAATGCTCTAGACCGACTCCACATCGCCCTGCCGCTGTTCTCTAACTCTGTCTTTCACTGCGGCGGCGCACTTTAAGTTAATTGAAATATTTCAACGATTTTCGCCCTGTGGTTTCTTCTACCTGCCGTCGTGTGTCCGTCTTTGGGATCAAAGGGGATTTCTCTCTGCATGCGGCTACGATCAAAGGCCTTTTTGCATTTTCCCCTCAGTTTAGTTCTCCGGCTGCCTTTTATTAAAATTCAACGCTCATTTCTATCGCATGCGATTTATTTCCAACAGTTTTCGGTTCACGAGTCTTTGCCCCTCGCCTTCGGTTGTGTGCGGAGAGTTCAATATTAATTTTTATTGCCATTTGACCGCTAGGCGCTACATTGCTTTTAAATTGAGTGATTATTGCTCGTGGAAAAGCCAGCTAGTATTGATATGGGAAAATTTTAAATGAAAATATTGGACGACGATTTATTGGTACTGAGTGAAAAGAGCGTGAACATCGCCTAATAAGTGAGCTTCGACTATTTGTATCGCAATCGTAAGTTAAGCAAAGGATTAAGACAAAAATGTTTTTAAAATTTGTTGCGTTTGTTCTACAATGGTTGCTATCCTATGCTCATAATATCACAGCCCACTTTATATGATTAACTGCTGCAACTGCTTGACTCTTGGCCATGGGCCTGCTGAGCACATTTAGAGGTAATCCTGGGCTTTGTAGCCTACAAATTTTCGGCTTGTTAGCTGTCACAGACTGCACCTCATCATACTAGATCTGCCGCGCAGCGTGCCCAACGTATCTGCCATCTGGCACCGCATAGGCCGTTGGTGTTTGTAAGTGTATGATTGTCATACGCTATTTCCACTGCGGCGTTGGGCTATAAAATTGTATACAGCGTCAGCCAGAAGTCTG